CACATGGTTTCCAATGGAGAATACAGGTGACTGTTTCAACACATATTAACCTTAATGAGGCAGATTTTAGTTCCTTATATAGTCCTTATAATTGAAATTATTAACCATGGCTAAATTAGTTGCTTTGAATGATTGAGACGTCATAGGCATAGAGAGTAGGTAATACTGATGATTTGGGAAAAAAGTCAGTGCTTCATGATTTTTAGCAATAGCGGCCAATTAGTATTCTTCTGTGTACCCAGGCTAAGATATGTGCAATAGGAAGATGGGGTTGCAGTATTACACATAAGGGTCTATTTCTAAACTAAGGACAAAAGTCCCTACGAATATAAGGGAATTTCTATTCTGTGCAGATATTTCCCAAAATGAATGTTCTCCAGTCGTTTCTTTACAAGGCGATACATTTTAGAATGCTTTTTTTGTCATGTAATACCGCATTATAGCAACTAAATAGCACTGAGGAGCATAAAAAATGTGTATTCCCTATGTTCCTTTAACTCCATCAAGTATAATACTATAATGTCATATTAAATGAAAATTTTCAAAAATTCGAATGCAAATTGCTTACAAATAGACCATAAAGTCTTTCAGAAAATTGATTTAAAGTACATCTAAACACAGCCATTTTTTTTTTTGGTTTGGACAGATTAGGGAAGGGCTGGAACTCCTCTCAAGTTTTAATTGCTGTTTGTCATTTACCCTTTCTGTTTGTCTCGTTGACTACCGTCTTCTGTACAGAAATTATGGGAAATGTAACATTTTAAGCTGTCACTACAACAGGAATAGAGGGAAAGTCATTATTACAATGGCAATTGTCATTGTAATAAGGGAGGAATTCCCTTACATTGGAGAGATTTACCCTCACCTTATGTTGTGTCTACATAGAAAGTGAAGGAAAATCTTAGGAAAGAAAAAAAAACCTTCCCTACTCTATGCACCTTTCTATAATAAAAAAAAATGTTTTGTCCTCTACTTAACACAGTAGTGATGTGTGTGTGTGTGTGTGTGCCGCTCTGGTGACAGGCACAATTTGTATAATGAACACAATTTGCATAACACACATTATTTGCATAATGCCCATTATTTACATAATGGTAATGGAAATGATTTGCCTAATATATACACATTCCATGCCCAGCTTACCCACACACCCATTTTTATGAATTATACAGTACATTACATTAATACTTTTTTAACTAGTTTCATAATATTACATGACTAGTGATGTTTATTTCTTCACTGAAAATACAATGCCAAAGCAGGACTAAATGTAGAAAACAACTACCCGCCCGGAACTGCCTGTCCCGGGCATTGGGAGATAGGAATTCCCCAACCCTGCTGCCCCTCTACTCCCTGCTGCCTTGAGGCCGGGCCTTGGTTGGCCTTGTGGAAAATCCGGCCCTGAATGTGGCTATAACATTAACACCACATTTAGAAAAAGAAGTGTGGTGATGCTCGTTGTGCAGTCCAGAGGACTACAAGAGGGGGGGACCTTGGTGCCCTGTGCAGGTATGAAGTGGTTAAATGATGCTGCGTGTCATGTTAACTTGGAAATGAGGTGGGGGCATTAGATGGAGTGGGAGTGAAGATGCTGCACTGCAGAGAGGAGAGGACGTATAGGACTGAGAGCTGCTTTGCCATTAGCATGGCACTAGCGAGAAAAAAACTGTGGCTGGAGTTGGGCTTTAATGCTGGGTTTACTACCTTTCAAAAGAGCTAAATAGGATGTTATATATTAGCTGAATTTTCTACAATACCATTCCCCAGACCTGTTATTATCTGCTACTTAATATGCTACAACCTTGATAAAAGTAGATTTAAATGTCATAGTGATTTTATTTTGAAATTACTAAAATTTCAGCAGTGGCACATTCATCCATAGTTTTATTGGCAGCAGAGTTAGAAATGTAAGTGGAGAATAAGAGTATTTAGTCAATAATACAACAATCAAATTTGGACTGCAGAATATCCGAAGGCACAAAGGGACTCTTGGAAACCTAATCAACTTTTGGTTCCACCTCCTCTCCCATATAAGCTAATTGCCAGCTTCTAAATTACTAATTAGCAAATATAAAAAGCGCCTGACATTAAACAGACAAGGGCTTTTCATACAATAGTTACACTAAACATTATCCTTCTGTTGGATCCTAAGAGAAGAACAGATTTAGAGCTTCAAAGCAGAATATTAAAGTATGGAGTCCATTTATGTATGGAGGAAGTTGCCAGATAAATGGCAGCAGGAAATTAAGCCATCTGTTTGCCAACAAAACCAAACATAAATGGAACACATGCCTGTTATATGTCTAGATCTGCAAGAGACACAGAAAGAAAATGTTAATAAATCATATCATACTCTATTATATTTCATATGTACTTACAAAGACTAGCAGCCTTGTTAAATGTTAAACTAAACAACTTTCTGTTGCATAAAATGGTTTATTAGGTTTAATACTTTCTATTAGACTTTTATTTTGGATTAATTCAGGGATGTAACTAGAAATCACTGTGCCCCGTAGTAAAGTTTGGTATAGACCCCCCGCCCCCCCCCCTCTGCTGCAGAACCCACCAGAGATCCTGCAGAGCCCAACTGACACCCTGCAGAGCCCACCTGAGATGATGCACAGCCCACCCGAGACCCTGCACATCCTACCTGAGACCCAGAACATACCAGAGACCCTGCAGAGCCCACCTGAAACCCCACACAGCCCCCCTGAGAGTGACACTGCAGAGCCCACTAGAGACCCTGCACAGTCCACCTGAGACCCTGCAAAGCCAACCTGAGACCCTGTAGAGCCCACCTGAGACCCCACACAGCCCACCATAGACCCCACAGCACCCACTTGAGATCCTGCAGAGTCCACCTAAGACCCCACACAACCAGAGACTCTGCAAAGCCCACCTGAGACCCCACACAGCCCACCAGAGAGTGACCCTGCAGAGCCCACCTGAGGCCGTGCACATACCAGAGACCCCGAAGTGCCCACCATAGACCCCACAGCGCCCATGTGAGACCCCGTACATATCAGAGACCCTGCACAGCCCACCAGAGGCCCCACAGAGCCCACCTGAGGCCCCGTGTGGGTCTCTATGGTGATAGTTACACCACTGGCTTAACACCTTGCCTATTCCCATTTAGGTTATAACTGGTGCAAACACAACTTAAAAGCCTAAACTTCACATTTCTGTATTTAAACTAATTTTGGCCTCAAATGCTAAGATGTTGGCAGTGATACTGAACATAAGACACACAAACACACACACACACATTGAAGGGGTTCAGTGCCATTTTTGTCTAGTTGCCAAAAAACAAAGTTATACTTACCCGAACCTCCAAACCAGCCAGCTGTCATAGCTCTATCCCAGCCTGTCTCCTGCTCCACTGCAGCACTTGACTCTTCCTCAGCATCTTCATGTTTATACACTGTGTATAGACGTGATGATTTACAGGACCTTAGACTGCTGCAGAGGAGAGGGACAGAGGCTCTCAGGACCAGTCTAAGAACAAGCGGGCTCAGAGCATTGGGGAGAGTATAATTTTTTTTAACCTAGACAAAAATAAGCAGTTAACCCTTGCAGTGTGGGGGTAGCCCCACTGCAAGGGTTAATAAAAATGTTTCCTGGAGTTCTTCACTAAATCAAACTTTTTAAAAATATGTAGACTTCCATTGCTCATTCCCTTCTGAAAATGCTAGTTTCCTGGATGTCATAGTGAGTTTCCTATTTCTATTCTTGCTGAGCTATGTACCTGGAACAAGTATGCAGCTATTGAAACTAGAGGGAAGCAGAAATCCTGAATCTGCACACTGATGGCATGTTAGTAACCCAAAAAGTATTACAACTTTTGGCTCAGCATAACAGCTAGGTAACTAAAGGTTTCAGCAATGGAAATCCACAATGCTAGTTTACATATTTTCTATTACAGGTTTTCTTTAGATCTGCTCAATTGATACACATACAATTAAGGGGATTTATCAAAACTGGAGTATACAAAATCTGGAGCAGATGTGCATGGCAACCAATCATTTGGTTTTGGTTGCCATGCACATCTGCTCCAGATTTTGTATACTCCAGTTTTGATAAATTCCCCTCAATGTGTCATTGATGAGATGCCTGTCCTCCTGACAGATGTCTTCAGGACAGGAACTAGCATGAGATCTCTTGAGTTGTTACACAGGTGAAAATATCCTCTGACAGGGGCACTAAGCCGCATGATTGGCTGGAGTTGGGTTTTAAAGAACTTCTGCAGAGAAGAGTTTATGCAAGAATGTTGCATAAATGCTCTTAAAGGAGCCAAAATGAAACGATTCTAAACTGTCACATTCATTTCACAAACAAGTATTCTAAATTTTGCATGTACAGCAGGATTTAACATTTATGTCATACTATAGCATGTGGGTTGAAATGATAGGTTTTGCCATCCATGTATTGTGGTGTACCCATTGCTTTTCGTGTGCTGGATTGTTATTTTCTTGTATGTGTGGGTTGGACATCTGGGTATTTAGACCAAACCCATTACTGATAAGAAAGCCAATATATATATTTTTTACTACCCCACTGACCATCTAGGATTTTTTTTAAATTCATAGTTTACTTTAATTTTCATATCCAAAATCAATAGGGTTTTTTTCCACTTTAACAGAAGATTGGATCCCTGCTTGAGACCGCAACCTTTTACCCTATACAGGCCTTCTTTGTACCGATTACAATTGCAGTATCGGATTCCCCTGTAGTAATATATGAGATGAAACCTGGTATCGGGTAGTGTTGAAAAAGGGAAGCCTTACATTTAGGAATGGGTTTTGACGCAAGGATCCACTTTTCAAAAAGAAAACCCTATAAATTGTTCCTTTTCATGACTGTTTGTTCTGTCCTTGTGAAAACCCTCTTTTCATTTGTGCTGTTCTTGTGTATCTTTCTCATATTATTTTTAATTCCCTTCTTGAAATTCCTACTTTTCTTCCTCCTCTCTGCTCTTTTCCTTTATCTCTTCTTCTTCACAGGTATGAGGATTTTGGTGAATTTGCTCCTGGACACACTGCCCATGTTGGGAAACGTACTTCTTCTGTGTTTTTTTGTCTTCTTCATATTTGGAATCATTGGGGTGCAACTTTGGGCAGGTCTTCTACGTAACCGTTGTTTCCTAGATGAAAACTTTACTATGTAAGTTATATGTCATTACAAATTCATAAATGTGAACTATACTACTTTAATTGTTGTATAATCATTATAAACATAGATTGTGCAATGCCTCATATAGTTTTGATATTTTAAAATATCGGTGTAATATTTTTTTAGAACGGCTTGTTAAAGTAATTCTTCATTATTGTATGTTCAGGTTTAAGAATATGCTTTCTTTTACCAACCACAACTTAGGTTAATATATCTGGTTGAATGAAGCAACACAATCAGGTTTATAAACATAACTGTCTGTCATGTAACCCTACTGTTCTTTGAGATCTGCAATGGAATTTTAACAGTTCAAATACATTTGTATTTCTTGATTAAGTCACCTTCAAACAAAGATGTGAATGCTCCCTAGGCTAGCTCACAGTTGGTCAATAGGGATGGGCAGAGATTAACAACTGACATTGTTCAGCGCTCTCAGGACTGGCTCAGGTATGGTGATAAGATTGTAGGTGGGCAGCTCTGATGACACAGATGGAGGGTTCCTGAGAAATGACTAAAAGACAAGGAAGAACAACAAAATGCGCCCCAACCTAACAGCTGGATGTGGAACTCTGATTGGTAAAGGGATGTCTGTGAAAGAATTAATAAATGAATCAATCTACTCACATGATGCTGGTGGGAACCAGAAGCCATGCAGATGTGGGCTGCTGTGTCCTATCGGCTGTGATTGGGATACCGTTTGTGGAGAAAGCAAACACAGCACGAAGTGTGGTGTGAAGTACACAGAGGATGGCAAAGGCAAGGCTCACTTTATTGTGGTGGACAAGAGTACTATGCTGCCTTGAGGCTGTTGGAGGCAAAAAAGCATGTAGGTCGGCAGATGTGAGCAGCCCTGATGTGTTAGTAAACAGCTGGACTGTGATCGGCAATCGTTAGGTGTCAGCGCTGGAGGTGGCTGTGCGGTGATTGCATTCTCCACAAACGGCATCCCAATCACAGTCGACAGGACACCGCAGCCCACATCTGACATTACCAATCCTCCATCAAGGCCGCACGACTCCTGGTTCCCACCAGCATCATAGGATAGGAAAAATGTTGATGGCTAGTATTAGCTTCCTTTTAAAGAGGTCTGTGCACTGCAGGGATGCTGCCACTTTGCTTTAGGTAAACCTATTCAGAGTGGCTTTGTGGAATCTGGCGATGCTTGTGTGTACATATTTTCCACAAGTTGCAATGTTTTGCAGTTAAAAAAAATGCAGCGAGACTAGCTGAAGGGTAATAGCTTTGGCAGGCCAACTGCAACATCATGCATTAAACGATGGAGAGAAATGTGTATTTTCTTCTTTATCTCAATTCCAGTATTTGCAACAACCTTTGGTTTACTACCCTGGAGAATGCCACACTGGAAATCACAAGGATGTTACAAAACATACATTTTGCAGGAACTTTATTGAACTCTTTAGATATCCATAAACATTATAAAATCCTCAGATGAAGCCATAGAAATCTCATGTGTGGGTATCTTCAAATTCCATCAAGTGACATTTCTTTGCACAAAACAATCTCACAGGCTGTAAAATGTTCTATCGTGACAGTTGTGTTCCAAGATAAACTGACCTTGGAGATGACTGTAAGCACCTCCCTTAGCTTTCCCTATTGGCATATGCATATATTATCTACTGTTAATTAGGGATGAGCAAATCTTCCTGGGTTCAACTTGCAAAGGGTATATCAAATTCTGATAAAAAATTTTGTAAACCCCAATCTAGCAGTGAACCCTATTTAAAGGGGAGCTAATATTGATGTTAAATTCTGGACATTTCCAAAACTAATAGGCAAGGTCTTGTCAAAAAAGTGCATAGTGAGTTGGGCACTGCCATGGAAGACATTTTAAAAAGCAAGAAAAAAGTACAGTAAAAAACCTTCAAGATTACATTGGAAAAACACCAAACCATTAAATGACATGCTTGGGAAATCCCTTCAAATTGTATGTAGTGTTATGGAACAGTGCAACATATTTTGGATGTCTAGTTGATTTTTAGCTTTTACATTTACCTTTGCCGAAATAAAGCAACAGCATCTGATTCATTTTAACTTGGAAAAAATGCATTTTAAAGTAGTTTTGGCTGCAATTTTTTCATCCAATAGTATTGTAAAAGGCTTGACATTAAACAGCAGCCAGTACAGATCTAAATAATATAGGACAATTTGCCAGTGGCACAACAGTTCAATAGTATAGTTTTTCAACAGAGTGTACAAAAACCCTTCAACCCCTCCCATTTTCCCATATTTAAAATTATTGACCAAAATCAAAATATAGACCTCAGGCATGTCTTTGGAAGAACTAGAGTCAGGTCCATTCAGCATTTGAAAAGGCAGCAAATAGAAAGAGACAAGGCAGGTTTTATCTTGCAATAGAAATTATAGTATTATCTGAGAGACAATAACCACTAATATTGTTCCATGACTGGACAATAACTGAGCTGAGTGGCTTGGTTGGGCTGCAATAAAAAATGAAGAGAGGATGTAGGTTTTATCTTGAAAATACATCCTGAATGATGAGACACTGAAGCAGTGAAAAGAACCTCAGCTCCACGGGGGCTGTTCTCTTACCATTATCATACAGGTACTCATTAATGGCATGCTGCTTCTGGTGCAGCCTCTGCAGCATGGCTATTGTTGAGTTCCAGGACGTGAAGGTGCCACAGATAAGATGGTTGGCAGGCAGCTTGTGTTGGCACTTCAATGCTGCAAGGCAAACACTGGCTGGGTATGACCACCTAAAGTGGCCACAAACACTTCTGGCCTGAAGGTGGACCTTCTGAAAGCCAGGGAAACTAACAAGGAATGGCTGCTCCACCAGGTTGAGGATATGTGCCAGGAATTTTTAGTGGTGAAGAGGGCAAATGGGACTGCACTGTCAGAAATGTACAAGACACAGGGTAGCACCACCAGACGTGCCCTGAATCTATATTGTGTGGCCTCACCACCACTATGTCCTGCAGAATCTCCTTACCACCTACTACCTCTACATGCAGAACCTCCACCTCTCCCTTTAGTCCTGCCTTACATTTAGGTATATGCAGTGACATGCTGCTAACAAAGGCACTTTTGTCAGTGGCAGCAACAAATTTACACTTATTTTTAAATAACCTAGCAGAATATTAAAAAAGATATAAATAAATACATATATATATATATATATATCC